CCGAGCCTTCTCTTCTTCGAATGCTTGCCGCGCTCTGTCAATTCCAGTCCCATTTGTGGCACTGATCTCAGGCTCTTCATCAGACAACCTGGTACCTCTGGCTCTTTCCAAGGCCGCTGCTTTGCGTGCTTTCTCTTCTTCGAATGCCTTTCTGGCCTTGTCAATGCTTGAATCATGACCGCCGTGGCCATTTGCCACTGTGTGGCCATTGGATTGGGCTGTCATTCGCATTTGTTCCTCGGCAGTGCGTGGTTGAGACTGATCTCCTTCAACCTTGGTGCAACGAAGCGTCTGCGAAACTGGTCTGGAAGCCTTCACGTTTGTCTTGACCCCTACTCTGCATGTCTGTCTCAGTCCCCTCAGCCCCCTGCACGCACCCACACTGCTCCATCGTTCCAGACTAATTTGCCATCCGCACTTAGAGTTCCCTGATAGGTTTCGCTGCCTCAAACAGCTGCATCTGCAACCACAACCCGATGTCGCTGACCCATCTGCAACCATCTCCGGCAGATCAACTTGTGTGAGGCCGGCACCCATCTGGAAAGAACAAGTTGTCCTGCTCGTGATCTTGAGATCCAGCCTGGACGTATTGAGTTGTTAAATGGTCTCTGTGGGCACATGTGCAATATAGATATTATTACTGTATCTGTTACTGATATACCTTTGCTATGTTGCTGCTTCGGCACTGGCCCCCATCCGGGCCGTACATTCGTGAGTCCTGCAGGTATTTGGCAACTTGCTCCTGGGCATTCTGCAAGTGAAATCTTATCTGCGCTCCTTGACCACAACCACCTGGGCATGGAGCAGGGCATCTAATCTAGCCACGAGTTTTCACTGTGTGGAAATGAGGCGACGGCTGTGCCCTCGTCATCCTGCCAGGCCTTTCAGAGTGGCAAGTAGCTAATTTCTTACCAAGTGGCCAACTCGCTGAACTCCTCGTGTAGATTGCAGTGATCCACTTCATATCTACATGTCATTGTCATTTCAACAGCGAACCCCCCGCTAAGGATCAAGCTCCCGCGAATGCGCCATCTCGACCTCCAATACGGTCGCCAAAATTGCAGTGGGATGCCACATGAGCAAACCTCTAGGGTCCAGGCCCGCCATTCCAAACCAAAACTGGGTCTACAAAATGCTGGATGCTGGATGGCTCTTGCCAGGGGATCTTTTTGGTGCACTGAGCTGAAAGGATGTCGGTGCATTCTCTGATCTATCTGCTGTGATCTGCTGTGACTCTCGCCAGCACCTTGAAGCTAAAGCCACACGGCATTTTTCACAACAACTGGACCAAAAAAGAGATCACGTATTCGGAAAGTTGAGAGCTTTAACTCAAGCTTGAAAGCACCTTTTTGGCAACCGTCTCCATTTCTTCTTAAACTCACTCGGTCCAGCGTGTCCTCAATCTTGCGCAAACGGCAAGCTGTGGGTCATGTGCATTTGTCACACTTCGAGGGGGAAACATCAAAGAATTAAGCGCCTTGCTCCTTCCCACACTGAGGCTCCAAGCAGCGAAAATGCCTCGCGTATCGCGCGCGTGGCGCACACACACACACACATGTTCCTCGCACGCGCATGTCTTCTCGCAAATGCTTTCGATTAAGTGACATGTCAAGTAAAATTGGGTTCCGGGATAAGGATTGCGCCCAAATAGTTTTGCACGCCTCAGCATGGTTTCGTGGGCATCCGGCATGACGCTAAGAGACGGCACCATCATGCATTGCTGCAGTCCCAGTAGCTTGAAATCAGAAGCAGCTCTGGAATCGTAAATTGCACCTAAGATTTGGCCATTGCATTGATCAACTCCCCTCCGTTGGACTTCCTGGTTGAGCCCCTCACGGCCCCCACACTCTGGACAAGGTCTTTCAACTGCTCTCCTCGGTTCAGGTGATCTTCGTGCCATGGACCTAAAGGCATTGATCTCCATTGCTCCACTTCGGGAAGTGACCACCTAACTAGTGTTTTTAGCATTGGACGATGCATTGCAGTCCTTTCTCACTAGCAACCGCCTCGAAAACGAGAAATCCCCCCATTATATATAGCATATAATATACATAGCACATTCCTGGGGTCAAATTCGTATCGATCCCCAATTGTATCAACGAGCTTCCCACATGGCCCCCATATCTCGCATTTCTGGCCCAATGGATCTATTTGCCATTTTTGCTTGTCATGAGGTGGCACAGTGGAGCTGCAACATGTTCTAATTCCACGTGCTATGGATCAGTCAGTTTCGGCTGGTCACCGCACGCCTCGGATTCGAGTGGTCATCACAATGACCAGGAAATTCATGAAACAACCCAGGACCAGCATGATCAAAGCGTAGCCCATGAACGGATATGATCCCGTAGTGCTGTCTGAGACCTTGTCTGACACAGCAACCTTAGCCCCTTGGGCCAAGGAAAGCAAATAGCCACCCAGGATCGGACCCAAAGTCGAGCCGAAAAATCCGACCACTCCCCAGAGTCCAAGAGCTTCCGCAGACGTCTTGCCTTCCGGCAAGCAATCCAAGGCTAATGCATAGTCCACGCTAAGGTATGCTCCGGATCCGATACCATAGAACACGGCCGCGGCAACTACAGCAGGCCAGGACAGGCTAGGCACAAGCGGAGCGAGGATATACAAAATGAAGGTGCAAACCATGAACATACAAGAAAGGTAGATCATCGGCTTTCGCCCCAATCGATTTGAAAGCCTCCCAAGGGGCAGGCTTGTTGCCATACCCACGCATTGCATCAAAATCGCCAAACTGCCAATGACTGCTTTGCACCGTGCCTCCTCCTCGACATGCAGCATATCTCGGAAATAGAAGTACATGAAGGTAGCCACTGAGGTTGACATGTAGTAGCACATGCGTCCGGCGCAAACCCAGAAGAAGTCTGCGTCCTTCGACACATCAATCACATATGTCCTTCGTAGCTCAGTGAAGGTGAGCGTTGTGGATGCAGAGCCCAAGGAAGAAGATTCGGTAGCAGAGCAACATATCACCGCACACGCGAGAGAGATGGCAGCAGTGTAGATCCCGTAGTGGACTTGTATGGGTGCAGTGCTGGTTAGGATTATGATGGTCATTGCCGTCAAGGAGCCCAAAAACGTGTACATAGCAACCAGTCCGCTGACGACGGATTTCTCCGATCCTTCTGAACCAACTGACAGAAAGTCTGCAGGTAAGCCGCACTGCGCAGCGTAGACACCATTCACAGCCAATTGAAGAAGGAGCAGCGAGATGAGAAAAAATGCAGGGAGCAAGTACTTGCTGGCACCCCACATTGCAAGAAGGCCGAGCACTGCTAAGAAGGAGCCACTCAAGATAAATGGACGTCTTTTGCCCCAAGAAGAGCGATGCTGATCTGAGATTTTGCCAATCACAGGGCAAATAAGCTGTGTGGAGCCACTTACACCCATGTAAACCCCAACCCATATACTGGGGTTCTCCTGATGAAAGCGAGCAGCCTCCAAGGGAAGGACGATGACTCCCATCCCAGTGTTGAGGCAAACATAAAACATTTGATAGCAGGTAATCCCCAGCCATTTCACCAAGGGAACGCCGCGTTCGCCACGTTCGCCCGGTTCGCCGCGTGGGCCGCGTTTCGGCTCGATTCCCTGCACCAATCTGCCCAGCTCCTCCACTCGATCCTCCGGGTCCGACCAGGTCGAATCCGCATTGCCCACGTTTTGTGCACGGACCGCAGGCGGCCGCGGCACGGGGCTATCCATTGGAGAAATGGGTTCCTATGGATGTCGACGGGTTCCTATCAGTTCCTATGAATTGCTGGTTCTCTGTGGCGGCCATGCGGCCGTGAACTATTGCATGCTGCAAGGGTTGATTTGCACTGCTCAGTCCATCTGATTGATTGCGCGGGGCCTAACTGACTGGCGAATCAGCAAGACAGAAGCGAATCCATCCAGTTTGGCAAGCAAGTGCTTAGTTCCAAACAGCCAGGGCCAGGGTCATCATTTCCAAGCGCCACGCAGCTTCGGAGCAGCCTCAGCCTAGAGAGTTGTCGCTACAAGGTCTAGTCTAGATGTCGTTGGGAATCGTTTCATTGGGAATCGTCTCACCTGTAGTAACAATAAAGCAGGGAGGGGGGGAGCGGGCTAAAGAAGAAAAAAACTGTTCCCGTTCTGTCGTCCTGCAGCGGAAATTCCAGGCTTCGCACCAGCCCAGCACGCTCCCACTCGGCTCGCTTCGCCTTGAGGTCATCATCAGCCCAACATCTTGGGTCCTTTCACTGCACCACGAGCTCTAAGCAACAGCTCGGCAAACAGAAGGGGAAGTCACGAAACGAACGGCTTTCACCACCTTTTTGCAACAAAGCTGTGCCATAACTTAGAGCCAGAGGATCTCGTCCTCCCGCACTAGAGCTGCCACACCTTCGCTGCCACGCTCAAGGACCTTAGCTTACAAGAATCCATGAATCATCCAATTTCATGCAGAACGAGGGCCTACTCTGAGCCTGAGCCTGCTACAGATTGGCGAAATCCGCTGTTTGTACGAATGGCCGCCAACTGCAAGGGAAAAACTTGAAAATAAACCTGTTGGCTCTGTGGGGTGCACTATTCTGCTTCCTTGCTTCATCCTTTCCCTGCTTTCATTCCTCTCGCTGCTTCTAGATATATGTCGATTACACCAACAATTGCTGGTGGTGAAACAATCTTCATGAGGCCCTTAGTTAAACCCATTGGGTCTTTCAGGAGCCGGTGTGACACTCAACAAACGCCAAAGCTCAAACAAGCAGTTGTTCGAAAACTGCTCTGCTTCCAACTATGCCCTGCTTGTACCTTATATGGTATACACGTACAGTATGTTCTATGTCTATATCGTGTTCTCAAAACCCTTTTTAAAGTACTGTATCATGTTTCTGGTGCTTCGCACCAAAAGCCAGCATCTACAGCCCGAATGCTCATCCTGGCCCTAGCCCTAGCCATCTTCAGAGTGGCCATTTGCTTCCGCCAACCATTCGGAAAACACCCGAAGGAGGAGCTTGCGCGGAACGTCCAGATCCAAAAAGCCTTTGACCGTGATGATGTCCAAGTTTGGCTTTAAAATCACCAAGGCAGGGTCAGAGCGGTGCCGAAAGCGGACACTCAGAGTTCGCCATAGGTGGTCGCGCTGCCTTGGCGAGTCGAAAGGCATCACCATCCAAGGTGCTGGGGGTGCAGGCCGGCCCACTGTGCGTGTGAAAGCATCCCAAGTGGTGTCAAAGCTGCACAGAACCACTTCGAACTTCTCCGTTGGTTTGTCCTCAATTTCTGGATCGCGAAGATCTAGATACAATTGGGCGACACGGCGCAGGAGTTCTTTGTTAAGCTGCAGCAGCGAGCTGGGATAGACCTGCTGGTCAACACTGCTGGATGTCATGACAATGATGCCAATGAGCGCTGCATCGTGCAAGGCCTCGGTAGTATCAATGGGGAATTCTTTGTAAGCAGTGCCTTTCAAGAGTACCGGTCCGAAGTGGCCCAGAAGACCATCCTCCCGGGTGGGTGGAGTGAGCACAATCTCCTTAACAAGCTTGTGACTCTGAGTGTCACCCTCAAGTAGTCGGGAAACAAACTCTTCACGATCCAGCCTGCGATCCCGTTTTCGGTCCATCCGCACAAAAAGATCTTCAAGTTCCTTCTTCGTCCACGTAGGCCCTTCTAGTCTGACGATGACGTGGCTCCACTCATCTCTATCTATGTAGCCATCGCCATCACTATCCATCCGGAAGAATGCCTGATTCAGAACATCAAGTGCTTCATGTCGTTCAACCTGTGCCCACCAAGACTGCAGTTGTTTCTCCGCTTTGCTAATCAGTGCTTCATCCACTTCAGAGCTCTTGGCCCGCCCGATCAGCGATTCCAAGGTCTCTGCGTCCTGGCGGCGGGCGTGGCTGGGCAGCGGTCGGCAGCCCTTCTGCAACGCCTTCGTTGCTGCATCCTTCACTTCAAAAGGCACAGGGGACACAGCGGTCACGGCAGGGGCTTCAGCACTTTCTGCACCTTCGGTGGCTTCGGTTGCAAAGCCCGCCATGGCAGCCATGCGGCCTACTTCACAGCCTCATCCTGTTTGGGATGCTCTCCACACCTTTCAACTATTATACTTAACAACTGAACAGCTTGCCTTTGATAATTATGGGGCTGTCTTGGGTAGCAGGTGCATTCGCACAAATACTACTTGGAACTGTGTGCATGCACCATTTGCAATCTATATAGAAGCTGAATCTATAGTGCAAACACACTGTCCAAAGACTCTTTGCACGATCCTGCATGTGTGCGTTTGCCACAGTAAGCTCACTGAAGAACTCCCAAGTAACACAACACAAACAAACAAATGCATGATCCCATGATCGTCGTTTGGGAGGTGTATATATTTCTTTATGTGAGTGTCAGATTTGGGGACACTGCTAGCTCATCTGTACAGAGCTGTAGGTGCTGCAAGGAAAAACTCCACCGCCATCGCACTTGCCTTTTTGAAAGGAATTTCCCTGGGAGTTTTCCACAGAATAAAACTTAGCTATATCACCAATCTCACACAACACTTCGCCGGTCCTTGGTGGTTTCTCCGTTCGGCAAAGCTCAACATGTAGCTAGCTCACCACTCAGCTCGCTCACAGCTTACTCCCTACAGAGCTTGGCTCAGCTCCCTAAAGAGAGCTTCGCCGGCTCAAGACTTCGCTAGCTCAGCATCACCTAGCTCAACACCACGTGTGCTTGCATGGCAACATGAGTGTCCCATCTCTGCTGCGTTTCTTTGAAGCTCCTGCTGTCCTGCCCCAGTGGAGGCTATACAGTACTGCTTTTGATGTAAATTTGGGGACGAGGGCATGGATGTACAACACATATTTCTCACATCAGCTACATTGGGAAGCATTTTGGCCCTTTGAGTCATACAGAGCGTAAGGCCTCAAACCTTCATGAAAGGGCCAAGGTGGCCAAGGGTGGCCAAGTTGAACCTTTGGGGATATGCTTGTCAATGAGTCAATAGGAAGGCTCGTCCAAGTCTAAGTGAAACAAAGAGCGGCCAAAGCAAATCACCAAAGAGCCCGGCCAAAGCACGCAAGCGCTGCGCAGATTCTGGAGTGTTGCCCCACACCTGTGACCAAGTTGACATTCTGAGGAAAGCTGGCTTCAAGCGCTGCTCAACACAAAGCATCAAGCATTGCCGCACAGCCGGCTTGAAACAGACATTTTCTCAGCTTTGTGCCGATACTCCAGGTGAAACTTTAAGTTTGCATCTCACCCACGTTTGCAGCCATATCCATTTGGACCACCATTGGTCAAGTCACGTTTTCCATTGCACAAAGCCTTCCCAGCAGTGCCTTTGGCCCCTCCCATCCAATGCATGATCTCAGTGGTTTCATCATCAATGTGTGCTTCACCGCCACGCTCCGCACCACGGTTGTATTGCTTTCCGCTTGCCATGATAACTTTGGAGGTAAAGTGCTCTTGGTCTCCATAATACAAATCGTTTAAGCAAATCTGTTCATTGCTTGTGCACCGCAAGGAAGGGGTCCCAATGCGTGCATTCTTGAGGAAATTGTACCCCGCCCAGTGCGCGTCGAAAGTGTCCTGGAAAAGGTTCTGGGTAAATTGCGCATTTTTTGCAAACATCAGGCCCCCATTGATGCGGCGTGCTCCGTTTTCATCCAGCCAATCTTCATTGGTCAAGAATAAATCCTTACCCTCCGCATCTAGAATGGCAGCAATTCGACGAAGTGTGTCAAGCTGTGGCTGAACCAGGGCCGCATCTGCATCTAGCATTAAAACATGGGTAAACCCCTGCTTGCTCAGCAAATAGTCGGACATCATCAAATGCTTTTCCCAGTTGTATGTCTCACGCTCATTCATCTTAATGCATGCCTGCAAGCTCTTCTTGCCACATTCCTTGATCATCCAATCTGGCAATTGAGGCTCCGTGGGGTAAGCTCGAATCACCATGACGTGGCCGTGCTTCTCTGCATGAGCACGGTTGGTCGCGAGAATTGCACGCAGCCAATCTGGACGCTTTTCCAGCTTGCGATTGTCCTTCTTGTTTCCCCATGTGCTATGAGAGTCCGACAGGACAGCCTGCAGTATGATAATGCCCCCACTTTCCTCCGCACGCGCATCAACAACCAGTGCATCCTTTCGGACCAGCCAAGTTGGGCGTGTCTCTGAGATTGGTAAACCTGCGAAAGGATCGACTGGAGGAGGCGTTGGAGGCAATGCACCAAGTTCGGGAAGCCGAGGGACTTGCGCTTGATATACATTCCACTGATCTGATGCTGGACCTTCTTCTTCGCCAAAGGGCGCGCAACAACGACACAACCAGTCAGGATGGCCAGGGCTGAACATGAAGTATCGTCCACAGTCCATTTTTGTGGCCACCAGCCCGTCACACTCCTCAACTGTTGGGATGTTGCCCAATTCTAGTGCTTGATCAGCGCATTCGGCTTTCTTGGCAAAGATTTTGGGCTGATACTTCCCGTTCACACCATCTCTGGTTTCACCGTGCGGTGTGTCTGGCTCAGGTAGCCTCGACGGTGCAGGTGACTGCGGCACAGGTGCGGCTCTTGACACAGGTTCTTCTATGTGGTCATTGAAAGCCTGGGAAGTGCTAGTTGGGCCAGGTGCAGGCGTTGGCACCTCAACCCGGTGGTCGGCTGTGACAGCCGCTCGTTCCAAATTGAATTCTAAGTACAGGCCAGGAATTCCAACACAAGCAGCGCCCAAAACAATTGGTAGGGCTCCTCTACAACCCTGTCGCCGTGTTCCAGTCATGTGCCACTGAGGCCATGTTCATGGCGCTGACCTTCCCGCCCCATGTTTTCACAGCCCAGTTTTGAACGCGCTTTGAAAAGTGGCGGCCAAAAGCGGTTCCAGCTTCTTCTGCGGCGCCAAGTTGACATGTCAAACAAAGAACTCACCTTATATCAGAAAAGAATCCAACATCAAGTTGGCATGTTCCACCACCACAATGAAACTCCGGATCCAAATGCCACGCCTTTAGGAATGACGCTGCCAGCGCCTCTCCAAGAGTTCGGCCAGCCTAGCCAAGTGGCACCACTCCTCACCCCACCAGGAATCCTTTGAATGAAACCTGTATCTTTGAGGTTGGTGTGATCCATTTTGTTTTGAATCCCAGCGTTTGGAGGAGATTTCTAGTTCTCTAAAGAGATATGCCACAAAGTATTTCCGCTCAAATTGTTTCACCATACCACTGTGCTTGACCTGCCCGTCTTGCAGTGCTTCAGCGAGTCGGGCTGCCGCTTTGGCTTCGAAGCTGCCCTAGAAGAAGAAGAAGAAGAAGAAGAACAAGAACAAGAAGAAGAAGAAGAAGAGCAAGGGAACACATAGACAGCTCCTCCCCTATACCCCAAAGAATGTGTGCAACAAAGCAATGGCTGCAGCACTTGCAATGGTTTCATGTCATGAGCTATGAACAATCTTTTGACTGTGCTCCTCTTCCCCATGAGCTGCAGCCTGCTTGAAAGCATGACTGAATGGCAAAACAACGCGCTGAATTTCCAAACAGTCAACTCCCTTGGTCCAAATAGATTGATATTCTACCAAACCACACGCGGATAAATTCCTAACCTAACCATTGAAGCAATGGATGTCATTGGGCAAATGCCATTCCGCACCGCCTGCGCTTCCTTCCGAGCTTCCTCTTTAGGCCTTGCTACCCCAACGGTCAGGATTTCAGACATTGTCCCTCAAGCCCTGGGGGTCAGGCGGGTCAAAGGGGTCTGCTGCCTCCACATCGCTGTGGTCAAAAACCACCTCAAGGACATGTCACGTTCTTTGGCGCTTCGGGTGAACATTACGGTATAATTCACCGCACTCCTTTCAAAGCAAAGAAGAAAAAGTACATGAGCTCAGTTTCCGACAATCTCTCCAAGGTTTTGACCTCGAACAAGCTTCGAGCCCATAAAAATTCCCAAAGTACATTAGGATCTCCCATTGTGATCGTCTAACTCTTGGAAGGAGCGCTCTTTTTTGACTCCATGGCTTATCCAGCCAATATCTGCAAGCGGTGCAACTGTGTTAGCCCACGCGCCAGTGCAGCCTGAAGTTGCTGCTTTAGCTGTCCCAGATCAGCATCACAAGCAGCTTTGGACGCAGAAGCTACATTTGCATCATCTGCCCCACACTTCTTCATGGATTGCTTCGACAAACCATTTCGAATCCAGTTCTCACGAATGGGTTCCAAATCACTTGGGACAGGCTCTTGCCAGCGTTTCAATTGCGATGCGGCAAAGGATAGTTCCATTTCTCCAAAGTCCGGAGTGGATTGCGAAATGCCATTCAATGGCACTTGGTCAGGCGTCTGCATTGTGGCCTGGGAAATTCGTAAGCCAGGCTCCTGAGTGACACCCTGCAAAGGTGAATTGAACCTGTCCAATTGCACCTTGTCAGGACTGAAGGACCACCTCGCCAGCACCTGGCTAGTTGCAGCTGCACCCTGATCTGTTTGCACACCAGCATCGCAGTGCAAGCTTGACGTCACTGGATTCATGCACTCCTCCAGCTGCGTCTGGGCAGTGTCTGTCTGCACTGCCATCTCCCCAATGCCCTCAATCTTGCTCGGCCGCAGGAGCTTCGATGGTTGAGGTATTCGAACTGGACTCTGGCAGTTCACTTCATCATCAGACCCAAAGCCAGCATATGACCTCGTAGGGCTCCTCAAGGCCGCCCGCGCAGGTGCAGCGGGCAAGCTGAGTGGATCCATTCTGGGAAACTCGGAGCTTAAAAGACCATGCAAGGTCGGCGTTCCTGCCTCGGAGGGACTCAAACGAGGCGGCCTAGCCAATTCAATTGAATTGCATGCTGCTTTGCGAGGACGGCCACATGAAACCATGGCAGCTGCAGACGCTGCAGCTTTGGCGACTTCCACAGCTGCGGCAGCATCTCTTTGCGGCGGCCCTCTGGGAGCACGCAGGGGGCTTGCAAACTCATTATGTCGAAAACTCTGAAGTTCTCTCTTCAATTTCCTTTCTCTCTTTCTCTCGCCCATTGGCACACATAAGCGGGTGGAAGCATTCTGTGGACCCATCAAATGAACGGCTGTCGGCGCTGGAGGGTTGCTGGAGGCGCGAGCCCTCTCAGGCTTGGCACAGGGAGCCGCTGGGGTGCGCAGCGCCCCGGAACTGCTCAGGCTGGTGGAGCCGTGTGAAGCAAAGACCGGAGCCCATGATGCCCACAGACCAGAGGATGGCTCCATCATCAGGGGTCGAGTCGGAGATGCCGCCGCCAGTTGAAATCGTTCCATGTCATTTGCTGTCCAGCCTGAATGGACAGAATGGAAGCCACCCGTGCCACCCGTGCTTGGATGTGAAAAAGGCATACCAACCGTGCTGGCTGTGTCCAAGTAGCTGAGCCCCTGATTCCCCGTATTGCCTTTGAAGCTGGAGCTTGGAAAGTGGCAAGGGCACGTTTTATACGCAGTACCGCTCTCACCCTCTTTGCAAAGTTGAACTTTCATGGGGGCAAGTACGCCTTCAGTGCTTTCATCACTTTGGCAAGGAAACCGTGGAGTTGACATTGGTGCCAAATGCAATGAACTGGTCGTATGACACACTGAAGGCCTGGCTGGTGCCAATATGGCCTCCCTGTTTGAATTTCCAGCAGATCGTTCCACGCTGATACTGCTGATGGATCCAAGCGACTCGTTGACATCGCTCTTGGGGTGGACCTCCTCGATGGGAACCACGCCATATCGCTCTTCAAAGCTGCGGATATATTCATCCAAGCGTCCAGTAGGACTAGTGGCCGTGTTTGGCATTCAGCATGCAACCCCAACAAAGCGACTGACCAGGTCGTCGAATTTCAACTCTGCACATGTGAGCACTCACAGTGGCTGCGGCAAATATCCAATCATACTCTGACTTTTGTTAGGCTGGGTGCTTACACTTTTTCCACCATGCAAGCAATGAACCTGTTCAAATGCTAGGACAAAGACAATCGCGGGGGCCCAGTGCCAGGCGCTCCCTGCGCCAGATTTTTGCCATGCGGTGATTCTTAAGTGGTTGTGGAAATATTTCATGTTCTGTTGTGTGGATATGCCATGGGCATATGTTGGCCAAGAGCTTGTAGAAGTCCCGTAGCTACAGTAGTTGTTGTGAATTGTTTCTTTGGCTTGGATCTGACCAACACGGCGGTCCTTTCTTGCTATTGCATGAGTTGCTGGGATGCACTTCAAACAACATTCATTTGCATTCCGGTTTCCAGCTCAATACTTGTAGTGATCCTAGCATCAACCACCGCGTCCACTTGCAAACATGCACGAGCCAAGACTGCGATACCAAATGAAGCAACACGGGATATACTGTAACATGTTTAAGCAAACACCTATATGTCCTTATCGTTGGACCTTTTACCCCTTCAAAACCACGCAGGACCATCCACAAGCACGTAACCTGAATGGCACGGTTTTCCACCAAAAGTTTATAAAGATTCACGTAGTGGCACTCTGGTGGGGCTGCAATAGATTACTGCCACAGTGCTCGTTTCCAAGAATGCTTGGCAGGCAATTTCCGAAACAAAGCGTCTGTTGCCTGATTTTGTGGTATCGCTCTGGGGTTTCTACTGGGCGAATCTTTTTGCAGGCCTTTTTTTTAGTTTACCGGAGGCATAGGAGCACGTATGTTTTACTCAACCACCCCCACCTTTTGGGCAGCTACCCGCCCACGTGTAGGCCTCACTTTTTTCGTGTGTGTCCAGTGTTTTTTCCCTCGGACTGCCCTGCGTCAACTTGCTCACTCACAATACTTGCAGGCGCTCGAAGCTTAGGATGTTCAACCTTTGGGACGTGCACATTTTTGTGTTGTTTCGTTTGGCTCTCACACTCTACTATATAATATATACATTTTTTGGTGCCATGGGCGCGGACTCACGCCCGTTGGCGGCGCCATCTATGCCTAGTGTGGCCTAGCACGCTGGACCACCACCGACGGTTTGCCGCCCCTCAATTATTAACATGAGCGTCAATTTAACATAGCCCATAGCATCAACATCCCACGCAAGTGCACATGAACGTTAACATGCCCCACCCCACCCCGGTTAACATGAACATTAACATAAGCCATAGCATCAACATCCCACGCAAGTGCACATGAACATTAACATGCCCCACCCCACCCCACCCCAACTACTTAGACATGTCGTAAACATGTACAAGAAACAAGAACATGTGAATGCTTCCACGGTTGTGCAAATCCGTGCCACCAAAAGCATGAGATACAGAATTTGCGTTTTCCTTGCGTCTACTAAATCCCGAAGACGCCGAATTAAATACACGGTTTCAGCGGTAGAGCGACCTTTCCTAAACCCGAACTGTAAAGGACGAGTGTGATCGTCCAACCCGTCTGACAACCGGTTTGCGACGAGTTTGGCATACAACTTGTAGCAAGTCTGGAGTAAGCTGATAGGGCGATAGTTTGTGGGTTCGGTGGCACTACCTTTTTTGGAATAACCCGATAACCTGCGCAAGCTTCCATTGAGACGGGCTCGTTAAATTAACTAAACAGAAACTTTCAGGCGTCCAATCCCTATCCTTGTGGGTGAACCCAAAATTATGTAGGAACGCAGTCTTTGCCAGCTCCCTTGCCGGGTTTTGACTGCCGAATAGCCTGCAGCACTTCTTCGTTTCAGAAATGGTCGGGACAAGTTGTAATATTGGTGCGGACGAGGGGCCAACCGGCTCACCCGCCTCCCGCCATTGGTTTCTAGCAAGATGGATTGCACAGATTTCCGCGTTATTGGCACCTGTCCCTGCATCTGTTGCGTCGGCAAGCATGAGCACACGCTGCGGGTTTGTTTAAGTTAGTGATTGGTCGCCAGTCGCCTGTGCGGAGCTGATTGTCCAGCCATTCGCGTTTGTCGTGCCTTCAACGCGTTTAATCTGCCGGTGCAGTTCCGCAATATGGTCCATGCGCCCTTGTGTGCGAAGGTGCCCCCTCTGCTCAATAAGTTGCAGTGTGTGGGGGGGGGCTGATCCAGGGGTGGCGTGGCGGGGCCCAGTGGTACACTTCGGGATATTATGGTTGATGGCATTCATTTATACCGACGAACTGAAAGTTGGAATGCCATACCGGCTTTACGATTGTGGCTCAGAATGCGTGCCTCATTTTCCTACACTTAAAATGCCTGCACGGCCCCACAAATAGTAAAAATTTAGGGCGGCATTCTGACTGTCAGTCCGGCTACAGTGTTTTGCATCAAATGAGCTCTATACAGTGATTGAATCATGTAAACACTGTGTATATATATATATGTGTGTGTGACTCTCACGTGTATATAGGCCTTCAATTGCTGCATGGCGCCAACTCAAATTTCTGAATTTCCCTCTTTTGGGCCAAGGCAGTAGGCAAAACATTTCAACAATACATATAGATTAGCCCAAGTACGCCTCAATATTTTTCCAGACACGTCTCAGGTACCCGTCAACATGCTGGGAGGCCTTCTAAGTGGTAGCGAAAACCTAGACCCCCCACCCCCTGGTATTCTCTGGTAGATGTGCGGAAATTCCATTTACCATGTGTTCGCAACGCTGCGCTCTTATCCACGCAGGAACCTGTTGTCTGCATCTTCACTTGTCGCAAAACAACCCTTTCCGTACATGTGGGGGCCTAGCACAGCGGCTTCACCGTGCACTTTTCCACGCAAGCCACGAGTTGAAACCGCCAACTACTAGCAAAGGACCTTAACGTTTCAATCTCTCAGTGTGGGCGTGAAGCTATTCAAAATGAGCCCGCCGTTCATCTTCTGGCAGGGCGTTTTGGAAAACATACGTGTTAATGATATGGATCCCACCTGCCGCCATAAGTAGCGATACATTTTTTTTAATACACTAGCAATGCGGCTGTTGACAGGCTGCACGCGAACTAATGCACTACATGCAAAGGGAAAACCTACGCCGGTATGTTCCTGCTGGTTGCTACGGGTAGTACTGAAAGTCATACAAATGTAGTTGTCGACAACATATTGGGTCGCGTGTTTTGACTTGGCCCCTTGCAAACACAGGGCCTCGATGTTGTGGGCACGCATGTAGTCAACCAGTTGCCTGCGCATGGCCAGCCTGAGAAGTGAGCGCGCCTTTAGAAAGGCAATCATGAGGGTAGAAGCATTTGGCATCTTATACGGCACACGTGGGTCCCTAGTTTTTTTCCAGGCGCGCAGATGGAAATATATTCGCGCGTTTCAAATGCCGTGAGGCTTGAGTGGCCTGGTTCCGAAGCGGGGTTTGTATATTCGACATGTACCATCTATATCCTTGTCGGTGGGCTCCGCCACGTTCGAGCCACCTTGCTCGGCCCTGGCTTTCCTTCTGTTGCCGAGGACCATCTATTGTTTTTGCGCCCCTGGACGCAGGCACGTGGGCAAATCCTTTGTCGCCCTCATCGTTGCTGCAGCCATCATATGCTCGGGCATGCTAATGTCGGCCCCGTCTCTTTGCTCTTGAAAAGTCTGCCACGCGTAGTGGTTCCCAAAGAACATTTTTTTTGTATGGGGTCGGCGTACACAACCGCGCATTGTCATCTTGAAGGCACACTATAGTATAGTGCAGTTTTCTCAAATGCCTTGGCGAAATAACTCCGAGTTGCTCGCGCTTGCTCGAACCACTGAGTTCCAAGGTTGCGATGGGACGAAGGCTGACAATGCTGGATGGGTGTCGTGAAGGGCCTGGTGCTTGTTTTCCGTATGCCCAGAATTCCGTACGGTCAGGATGTTGTAAAATTCTGGTTCGGAACTCTGCAGCACATCTACCCAGAGTTGATAAATAGCCACAAGTTTCCGCCCACGCGTCGAGGGTTGCCCTTCCATTGGTCGTTCTGCCATTGTTATGTCGAAGCGCACGCGGTACGCACACAGCCATGTCCGCAATGGGGATCGCCGCTCCACACCTTATGAACCAGGCAAGTGAGCTGTGCATCTGTCATTTCCCTCAAGGCAAATTTGCACCTCATCTTCTGTATGGTGGTGTTAGGCTGCATCTCCGAGTCGGCGTCACAGCACTGATCTTGAATTGTTGTTTTTCTATTTTGGTTTCGTACCAGCGTCCTTGGCACCATCAACAATTGTTGCTGCATCTTTGCCAATGTGGCTGCCCCTAAGTACAATGAACTAGTTCCACAACGCACAAGTTGCACGCGGTTCGCCATCGAGTACATTGGTCTCATCCGCACACAAATCGCTCAACAGCGCTTGATGTACGGACAAAATTTGTTGCATGGCGCACATTAGTGTGAGAGTTGCCAGAGTTATTGTAGGCTCACTGGTAGCATCTGCCTAGTAAAGTTTGGGGGATCTCCTGGCTAAGCTTCGCGTATCAGCTTGAAATCAAAACAGACCACGTGCCAGTTTGGACAGCACACGGCTGGCTTTAGTTTCGCTACGTCTCTGTGCTTGATAAGCTATCTCACGTATGACGGACCGTCGATGGGCCCAACGGGCCCAACGGGCCCCAACAGGCCGACGGGCTCTCGATGGGCATGTGACGCGCCCACGACGGACAACGGGCCCGCAACGGGCCAGCCAACTATCTGCATACAAACAATTAACTTAGTTCATTGCAGGTCATGTTTGGTGCTTGCTACAGCCCCAAACGAAAAACCTGAAGCCCACCAGCTGCTGGAACCTTTTGGTGCCACAAGGTCGGTACGTGTATGATTGTGCGTGCCCTCGCGTGGTCCGCCGCAGGCGACCTGCAGGGGAGGGCCGCAGAAGGATCAGAACAGTTGAAATGTCCAGCCGCGTGCGGCTGGTCATGGGGCTGGTCATGGAAACAGTCGCCCGCGCTCAACGACAAATAGTTGGCCGAATAACGCAGCTCCAGGTCTGCCATGTTGGTGACTGGTGAC